CATAGATAAGTCATTTGGAAAATATTCTTAGAGTTATATAGCTCTTCAAATGTTAATATGTTTCACTATATCTTCAATATCAAACTAACTTAGTGTTAGTATTGTCAGCAGAGGCTTTGGGACTGGGGATCTGTCAAGGTCCTCACAAAGGCCACAAATTTTCTGTAATTGTAATTTTTAAATAAAGACCCATTTTTTTATTGTTATAAATAGTTGGTTTGAAGTGACAGGTTTGTATCACTGTTTTTCAGGAAATTCTTGTCATGTATCTGATTCTGAGTAACCACAGTTTGAGGCTTTTGCTCTCAAATAAACTATCTTCTACAGCCTGACAATTCACACAGTAGCACATGCTTTCCCTTAAAACTCTGTCGTACTTCACTTGCGGACACACACGCATTTTGTGTGTACTTCTTATTTAATCATATAGAATATTAAAGAATATGTATTTAAAGGTTGAGATTTTAAAGAATTGATTTTTTTCTGTTTCCTGGAGGGCATTTTAAGGTGCAGCTGACTTGATTCATACTAAGGCATTGTCAATTTCATCATATATATTTTTTCATTACCAGTTCAAATGTCAACACAGTGAAAAATGCAAATAACCTTTTCCAGGGTCTCAGACTACATTTTAAAAATGGATGCTTTGCCTTATGTTTCATTTATATGAAGCTTAACTTACCTTTGAAATTAATTTGCATGTCTCTCTTCTTAGTGAGCAGAATATTCTGACCTTTGGCAGCCAGTATGAATATGAGTTATTGTACTGGGTTGTAATATAACCTGAGGGGCCAGTACAGGTGCTGTTAAATTTTAAATTAAACCAGGCGGCTTTGTAGTTAGTAATTCAGTTTGCTATGCATTCTCTACCCTCCTATCAAGTTCTAGCAGCCTCCAATTCTGCTGTTGCTAAACATTTCCTTAGAATTCTTTTTAGAACCCTTCAAGCATTGCATATTGAACTAATCTACCATAATTTATATTTATTTAATTTGATAAATTAAATGTTCTCTTAAAGGAGCTTCTGTACTTTTCTTTGCAAGCAAAGTACTGCTGTTTAGTGATATTTCTCCACTTCCTTCCTTGGAAGGCTGCATCTTACTTACATCTAGGGCAACATTATCATTCTAGATACTTAAGCTGCTGGAAGTCTGTCTACTACATGAGAGGAATTTCCATATTATATGTGACATATCATTTGAATACCTTAAATCCTCTTAATTACTAGGTAATTTTTGGAAGAAGAATTTTCAGCTGATTTTGGAAGAGTTTACTCACCTTTTAGCAAGGACTTCCTGGCTCTAGGTCTGTATACCACACAGTGATGTAGTGTGCCTAGCAAAACACAAGACAAATGAACACTTAACTTTGAATTTCTTTGTTGGACAAATTAACCCAGCAACTGCAAAATTTGGCTTTCTCTGGGATGCTGAAAGATAGGAAATGTGTAATCAAGTGTATGGGATGGTTGTGGTGTATTTCCAACAAGAAATAAAAGTGTTCAAGATTCACTTTTAATTGTCAATTTTTATTTACTGGGTTTGGGTCTTCAGATTGAATCCAGAAATTCTATGTAACATCCACTCTCCAGGAGATGTCATATTTAATTCTAGAGCAGTATTTGAAAGTGGAAGCTTTAGTATTATTTGAGTTGTTTTTTTTTTTTCTAGCAAAATAAATCTTTTTGGAAAAATGCATAGTCTACTTAAAAGTCAATAAAACATTAAAGAAAATGTAATTACCAATAATATCATGCTTTCAAACAGCTATTACTTTAAAAGATTACTACTTTTTCTTCAAGCTGTGTTCATAAATGCCTGATTAATTTTTTTGTAGCTTTTTAAAAATTCTTTTTCTTTTCATTGCTTTATTATACTGACAACAAACTTTATTTTTCAAAAATGGTTTTTGACTTAACAGAAAATTCACAAAGAAAGTATGATTTCTTATATATTCTATACCCTTGTTTTTATTAATATAACTGATATATATGTATATATACTGTATATGTATATATGCATATACACTGTGTGTGTATATATATAGTATATATATATACTGTATATGTATATAT